TCCTATCTTCGGTTATTTCGTCTAATCCAATGTGAACTTCCTTCCAGCTCATATCTTTAAGGATTGGAATATCCAAACTATCACTACATTGATCCCATAATTTTCACACCATTTCGCATTCAAAAAATATGTGCCTATATGTTTCCTCTTCTTTTCCACAAAATGAGCATTTATCACTTAATATGAATTGAAACCTGTATAAATAACGATTGACATAAACAATTTTATAAAGCAATTTGAATTGAAATTCTCTTAGTTTATTATCTAAAGTACTAATTCTTGGACAAAAACCTTTTCAATTTCTTTAACCGACAGATTGTATGATGAATGTAAATTCTGAAAACTGACAGGGACGTCTTGCATTTTTTGTATGCACTGTACAGATTCTTCGAACAAACCGATTCAAATTGGAATGTTTTCTTTGTGAACATAAATTCTGTTTTTAGATCATGAAATGAAATTTGCCTCTTTGTTAAATCGATTTTCCATTCCTTAGGTATATTACCATAGATTTCTTTAAGCATTGATATTTCCTTTTCCTCTAGTCCCATACATCTGAAATAAGTGTCCGACTTTAATGTTCCTTTTCCATCTATAATATGGTACAATCTGTAAGTAGTTTTTAAGAAAAGATTTTCATTGAAGTATGTTTTTCCACTATTGTGTATAAACCTATTATTTAAAAAAAATTCATTCCCTTTGTGAGTTGTATCTTTTTTAATAAAATCATTCATATCTAACCAAATATTTATTAAATCCCGATAGTATTTTGGTAATTGTATATCGATCTTGTTAGGTAAATAGTTACAGTAAAAAATAAGATTTCCTCCGAAAGGTCTCATTAAAAATTTGAAATACTTTTTCCATTTAACTCTCTGGTTTCCTGTTACAAGTCTTTTAATCCACATCACCTTTTGTACTTTCACAAAAAGTTGAAAGTTGAGCATTTTTAATCCTCCATGCTTGTAATCAAAATACATCGTACTTTTTTTAATTTTGTCTTTACCTCGCCATAGAAAATTAAAACAGATCTCATCAATTTCTTTTATAACCCATTCAGGCACTGGAGTCAAAGAGCTTACATAGATTAGTTTTGAATATGCGTATGTTTTCAGTAAATGAATTTTCCCTATCAAAGTAAGATCTCTTTGTTTCCACCAATTTAACAATTTCTTTATTTTGCTTAATATTTCTTTGTAATTCATCTCTTCCGCCACATTGGGATCTAATGTAAAATATATACCAAGTATTTTTAAAATGTGTGCCTCCTTTCCAAAAGGATACACAGTCGCAGAGCCAACAGAAGATCCTAAGGGTAAAATGAATGTTTTATTTCCATTAATCTTTAGTCCTGATATTTTTCTAAAATTGTCCATGATTACCTCTATTCTATTAATCGAGTTTATGTCTCGTACAAAAATTGACATGTCATCTGCATATAAGATCATCTTTATTTCTGTTTCTCCAAAACAAATACCTTTTACCAACTTATCATTTCTAATGCAGTGAGTTAAGCATTCTATGCATAAAATAAATAAATATGGAGATAACGGATCTCCTTGTCTTACACCCCTTTGAACTTTAAAATATCCGGTTGATTTACCCCCATTAAAAACACAACTTTGAGCATTGGTAAGTAAAATTGTAACCCATTCACAAAACATTGGCCCAAACCCGAAAGAAATGAGCACTTTCTGAAGAAAACTATGTGAAATCGAGTCGAAAGCTTTTTCATAATCTATTGCCAATAGGTACCCTGGTTTGTTAAAACAAGAAGTATGAAAAATCATATCATTGATTAATCTGATTGCATCACCGATGTTTCTATCTTTTAAATAACCTACTTGATCGACCGACACAATTTCATTCAAAACTTTTTTTATTCTTTTAGAAAGTATTTTGGTAATAATCTTATAGTCTACGTTGAGTAAGGAGATAGGTCTATAATTACTAATGAATTTGGGGTCTTTACCATCCTTATGTATAAGCGTTATGATTGCTTGTTTTTGAGAAGGCGACAATTCCTTGAATTTCATGGTATCGCTGTTGATGTTGAACGATATTTTGTTTTATGATCGGGATCCTTATTATTCCATAATGGTTAATGAAGGGTATAGATCACAAAATCTTGAGGCTACTGATTTGACGATAAAATTAAAAGCTTACTTTTAAAAATAAATGTTATGCATGATAGGCCAATGGTATATAGGATTGGGGGTGGAGGGGGGGGGGGGGGTGTGTAAGCCGTTTCCTCCATTTCACTTTCTGTTGGCAATCTGACGTATTCCCTGTTTGAGAAATGACTTGACAAATTAAAACAACTGAAATGAGCAGCTGTTCCCCGGTTGCATACAATGGCGTTTCGGCATGGGTCCCGGGTGTGACATAAATCGGACTTAACCCCCAACCCCCCCCCCCCTCAACAAAAAATATATATATGTAAATAAATAACTAAATAAAACAAAATATGAAAATGAAAAATTGAAAAGAGAGAGAAGGGAGATAAAAAGAAGAGACATGGCCTCTTTTATTATAGGTCTTCGGAAGACTTGATTTTTATATTGTTGCTTTAACATTTTTATTTTCATGTAGATTGATTTAACGGTCAACATATTTTCATGATGAATTAGTGAGAAAGAGATGAAGATCGACCAAACTATGATGCAGACATAATAATTTCTAATTTTCTAATCGATATTAAATTGTCAGTATATGTGAAAAAAAGTGGTAATTATATAGGCAATATAGGCCCATGACCCGAACATATGCTCTTGGCTCGCACAATATTATTATTACCTACCTTGGCAAAAAGAAGGACATTTCAAACAGATACTTTTAATACTTTTAATATTTTGTCGATAATAATATACTTTTCCAACTACACTGTATACTGAAGTTTTTCTTGAAATGTAAAACATGAAGAGATGTTTCTGAGTAAATGCTCGGTACACTCTTTATTGTCCAAACTTGTGTTTTCAGGTTCTTTCGTATATAATTCTGGACACCTTTTTGACGACAGTTGCTTCCTTTAGTCGGAGTAGGAGAACATTAACCAGTATCAAAATACTTCATCCCGGTCGTCCTTTTAATTAGAAAAATGCGTCTCTCTGTGTCTTATTCATTTCCATATTTGGTGTGTTGTTTGTTTGTTTGTTGTTTGTTTGTTTTATTCCTCCATTTTGTTGTGTTATGCCCCAATGGGAGTATGTCTAGTGGAGGCCTGTAACATCATCCGCGTACACGAAAAAATGAAAGAACAGGACAAATTTGGAAAAGGGTATCAAATTCATGTTATAACAAGATACGCGGAAAGGTTAGGAAATTTGTTAGCCACGGTCGGGTGGAGAGGGATCCGATATGTTTTTTTTAATTTCGTGGAAATGACATGATACAAAGAAAAGAGGAAAGAAATCAGGTTTTCTTTCTTTTACCTTGACTTTCTGGCTAAAAATATTCTAAGAAGAAGCAATCCTTGAATAGGGTGTATAATAATTTTCAAAATATAAAATCCTTGTCACAAGGATCTACAAATTGGAGATGTTAGACGGGGCGCCACGAGAAAAATTTATTTACATCAACAAAATATATTAAAAACCGCTGGAGTATGTAATTGCATGAGGAAATAGCTTTTTACTTGTATTTTTTCCTCGCTCGCTCGCTTTTTTTAATTTTATATAGAAACGGTGATTTCAGGCAGTGAAGTGCCTGAAATCACCGTTTCTATATAAACGAGGTGCCCAAAGGTTATGCCCATACATTTAGGTGTGCACTTGACAAGTTTCAGAGTGATGCACATACTATTCTGTGAATAATCTGGGGTTTTGTATTTCTAAAAAGGGTGCCGTGACTGAAAAAAGGGTTGAAAAACGCTGGTACATGTATATGGTATAAAAACTCTAGACTTTCATCCTCGTTTCGAATGCTTTTCAGAAATTGATGACGCGGATTCATGTGCATTATGTTCGGGAACACGCGCTTGTGATGCGGCGAAAAAGAGGGGCGTGTCATCGAAAAATCCGAAAGAGTTTGTCTTCTTTATGAAACTTCTTATAGATAGAGTTTTGGTAATGATAGAAATAAATTCTCACAGAATCCAACAAAACTTACACTGAATGTTCAAGATTACAAATAATTGTCATATGCCAAACGGTTTTTGTAGAAAATGTATAGGGGCTGAGTAAATGAGCATTAGAAAGACAAGGAAATCGAGTTAATAGTTTAATAGGCCTGACACCACTAGACCTATGTGCAAATGAGAGTTGAATTCCAGCAAGTTTTTGTGAGGTTGTTTTTATTTTACTAGTTCAAACAATCGATCTACTGCAGGATAAAAAATCTAGAATGAATTATAGCCATGTTCTCTCGATATACGATGCCCATACCAGAGCTGAAGATTAGGCCTTAAAAAAAGCTTTAAAAAAAAATTCATTAAACTTTTTTTTTTTTAACGTTAAAAAAAAAAGCCGACGTCACCGTAGATTTCAAGATTTTTGGGTCGGTCGCAAAGGGCAATACAACATCTTTTTATTAGGCGTCAAATAAAATAGTTCGAATTGACATCTCAATTCCCTCTCCGCTTTCTTACATAAAAGTCAGTTAGATTGCAGTGATAAAATTCATTGAAAGTTTGAAACCTTTTCAAAAAAAATAATCACCGTGATATTATTGAATGTGGTATAACGGTAGCGAAGAACAGTAGGTTTCGATATCAGACTATCCACACCGATCATCATGAGGTGATTTCCGAAAGGTCAATAGGGTTGGAGCACTAGGCTTTTTTCATTGTCATTTCGTTTTTCGTGAAATATGTCATTGGCAGATTGAAAATCAAAACCGGTCCTGATCTATTTTATAATTATAATTCTTCGATTTAGAATTGTTAACAACAATAAAATTTTAAGAAAGGGTGAATTATGCGTTCAAATTCGATGATTGATGTTTGGTTAATGTTCATGACAACTTGAAGAGAGAACACGTAGGTAACCCTAGATATGGCGCATGCGTGCTATGCTCAAGTCTTCCCGTGCGGGAATTGAACGAATGAGGATAGTTCCACGTCAATTTCGTCTTGAAACATCTTTTTCCCCTTTTCATCGGCATTTAATAAAAAATAAATTGTATGTCATGAAAGAGCATTAGTAATAGAATACACAGGATATAAATTTTTTATCATCAAATTATGATTTACCACCGAAAATTGTGTGTAAATGTTACCCCTTCGTCGACAACCAGCTATCAACGGTAACTCAATGCGTTTTCGTAGCCGGTGAAAAAGGTGCGGTCACTGTGTGAAAACTGAAACTGCTGTGAGCTGTGCTGTGCGTGGAAGAATCTATTAAAATTGCTTCTGCCGGGCGTTGGACTGAACTGAAGAGGATCGCTTTGACTGAACCAAGAGTAAAGATCAATTTTTCAAGATGGAAGTCCTCGTTCTTCTTGGACATATTCCGGCATTCCTTAGTATATTCCTCACCGTGCAGGCATGGTATTTCATATATGTGAATTTTCTACCTTTTGTTGGACAATTACCATACCTAAAACGTGTGAATCCATACAAAGCTTGTCTACGAATTGGATACATTTTGTTGCCATGGTGTGAATTTTTGGACGTTAAGATTCGAGTCCCAGACTCGGCAGAAGATGAAGATATTGATTTGGGAGATCATGAAGAATCACATACTAGTTTCAAGAACAAGGATGGTTTAATAGACAGTGATCTGGATTATGCAGAGGAGCAGATCGCAGCTTACAGGAATTTCTTTGTAAGTAGCCTAGAGTCTACTGTCTGAGTAGACTGTAGTTTGTGTCCAGATACTAGAACGTGTGTGTCTGGAGTGAAACTAGTACGATACAATTGAAATAGTCTGCCAAAAATGAAAATGAAATTTGTCATCTTTCTCTGTGAGCCAGCTTAATAAAATCTTGTCGACATATTTTACAATCTTGTAGATTAATAATTGGTGCTTGTTCAGAGACCTATCCAAAATTTGACCCGAAACTCCGGTGTGGAGATACCCTACTAAAACATACCCAAAATGAAGTAAATATTCATTAAATGTCCAAATTAAGGTCATGAGTTAAAAGTCGTTATGTTTACCTGTTTCGTGTCAATTTTCTTGTTATTTTTGGAGTACTTTTCGAAAAAAAGTTGATATTAGTACTAGTAGACACACTTTTTTACAGGTTTCACGGCAAACCGCTGCACAATACAAGTGCATACTGATGGTGGGTTGCAGACGGGCGCAGGTCTGTGTGAAAAGTGTGAAGTTATCTACCATAATGTCTCAGATCCTCATTACGGTAGATAACTTCACACCCCCGAAAAATACTCCAAAAATAACACGAAACCGGTAATAAACATAACAACTTTTAACTCATGATCTTTATTTGGACATTTAATGAATATTTACTTTATTTTGGGTATGTTTTAGTACGGTATCTCCATGCCGGAGTAACGGGTCAAATTTTGGATATAGGTTTCTGAACAAGCGCTGATTAATTAACGTAAATTTACATGTACATCCAATTCAAATCCATGTAGATCTAGGCCTACATATTTGTCATATTCTACTTTTTCTAGTCAATCATCAACGATATTCCACGGTACTTTCTAAAATTTCTAGATCAAGCCTTCTTTTCCACATATTTGTATAATGTTGCAGGCCTAGATTGTCAGTATTATAAAAAGTTAATCTTAATCTTATTAATCAATGATTGAAGGACAAGTTTGAAAGGTGTCATTTATTGCCATTGGTGTCATTCGTCAGTATTAGACAAAATGCTTCTACCGATAGAGCCTTGGCTTTATTGGTAGAGAGTTCCATGCATGCAAGGTCCTCTGGAACTTGGAAGAATGATTGTCTGTGTTGTTCAGTTTTGGACCTGGGGAGCTGGCACTCCAGCAAAGCAAAAAGAGAGTCTATGCTAATGCGTATTGACCTCTAGCACTGCACTACGTGTAGGCAGCATTTGAATACATGAATAGTCAATACACTCACAACACACAGATGCACACAATCATGCCTATGGCTATGGGGTTGATCGGCAAGTTTGACAGCGGGCTCACAATTTGAATTTTTATGCCTCCGCCACCGAAGGTGGTGCCGGAGGCATCATGTTTTCGGGTTGTCCGTCCGTACGTCCGTCCGTCCGTACGTCCTGTTTGACCGTTATCACAATATCTCAAGAACCATTTAAGATTTAAACTTAAGACTCAGGAATAGTATTTATCACCATAGGAAGACGATCTGATTAGATTTTGGAGTACGTAGGTCAAAGGTCACAGGTCACAGAGGTCAACTTATGAAATTCCTTGTATTGAGTTTGTTAGCGCGATATCTCAAGAACCATTTGAGATTTAAACTTCAAACTTAAGGATAGTATGTATCACCATAGGAAGACGATCTGATTAGATTTTGGAGCACGTATGTCAAAGGTCAAGGGTCACAGAGGTCAACTTATGAAATTCCATACATTGAGATTGTTATCATGATATCTCAAGAACCACTGGAGATTTAAACTTCAAACTTAGTGATAGTGTGTATCACTATAGGAAAACAATCTGATTACATTTTGGAGCACGTAGGTCAAAGGTCAAAGGTCACAGGGCTCATTATGTATGCAAAAACAGCTTGTGATCGCGTTATCTGAACAACCGATTGATGGATTCCTGCCAAACTTTGGTCATGTATGTATCTTGCAGAGCTGATGAACTGATTAGATTTTGGGGTCACGAGGTCAAAGGTCAAAGGTCACAGGGCTCATTATGTATGCAAAAACAGCTTGTGATCGCGTTATCTGAAGAACCGATTGATGGATTCCTGCCAAACTTTGGTCATGTATGTATCTTGCAAAGCCAATGAACTGATTAGATTTTGGGGTCACGAGGTCAAAGGTCACAGCGCACATTGTGTATGCAAAAACAGCTCGTGATCGCCTTATCTCAAGAACCGATTGATGGATTCCTGCCAAACTTAGGTCATGTATGTTACTTGCAGAGCTGATGAACCGATTAGATTTTGGGGTCATGAGGTAAAGGTCAAGGTCATGCGGCTCATTATGTATGCAAAAATAGCTTGTGATCGTATTATCATTAGAACAGATTGATGGATTCCTGCCAAACTTAGATCATTTATGTATCTTGCAGAGCCAATGAATGGTTCATAAGATCAAAGGTCATGGGCTCATTATGTATGCAAAAATAGCTTGTGGACGCATTCTCATTAGAACTGACAGATGGATTACTATTTAACTCAGGAAATCTTGCAGAGCCAATGAACTGAGTAGATTTTAGGGTCATGAGGTCAAAGATCAAAGGGTCATATATGTATATGAGAAATTGCTTGTAATCACGATATTCTGAGAACATGTTAATGGATTACAATTGAACTTGAATTTGAAAAATTTCTTTCGTTTCGGTTTGTAAAATTGCTCTATGACGGAGGCATCATTTTCGACTGCGCACAGTCGAATTCCATCTAGTTTAATTATTCTTTCTAACATCGGAAAGTTAAAAAATTGTATTTTACTGCTATTTAGGTGTCATCAATCGTCACTAAAGTACCGATTTTGAGTGAAAGCAGTTGAGTTTTGTACAGTGGTGTTTGAAATGTTGAGAATCAATAGCACAGCTTTTAATACACAGCCGGGATAGTAATGCACCTATTTGTGGGGAGCTGGTACCCGTCAGCGTGAACTGTCCTTGATGGTCTTGTCACAGGAGTGATGTGGTTTGTTGGGTCAAAATCCAGTCTCATTGTGGATTTTGTAGAAGATGGCTAGTCTGGACTCTGGAGTGCTCTCTATGTAGTCTGCAGAGAAGGCCATCCCAGTTGACTGATGATTTCTCTTCTCCTATGCTTGATGTTAATACTTATTGTATACCGGTAGACAAAGGACAAATTTGGCAAATCAACAAGATTAAACTGATTTTGAAACACTGATCAATCTCTAGGCATCAAGTACTTTGTTTAAAATGTATAGTTGTATACAACAGTACAACTACAAGCAGTGAACAAACCTTTGTAAAAAATTTAGATGATCTGAATTTAACACTGATCTAGATCCATATCTTTTCAATGTTGTAAAGCTTGATAAGCTACAGGGCTAAACTATTCATATCAGACTTGATGTGTTTGTAAGATGTGGACCAAAATATGCCTCGGTAATTCGCACATATTTGGCTGATGAAAAATCTGTATCCACTATTAAAACATAACTTTGCCTTTCTGTTTGCCACAGGTCAACTTGTACCGCATCTTACCATTCCGCTCATTATCGAGGTTATGGGGTCGGGTGAATAGTTTGGAGGTACCGCTCTTTCTCCGGGCTCCCATGTACAGTCTCTATGTACGGCTTTTCAACTGTAACCTTAGTGAGGCTCTGGTAGAAGATCTCAAGCAGTACAGAAATCTGCAGGATTTTTTCATGCGAGAACTCAAGCCAGATGTAAGACCAGTGGATGCACATCATATGCTGGTGAGTATATTTCTAACAAATATTAGATTTTCAAATGTCACCAAAAAAAGATTTGTTTTCCAATTTATTCTGTTTTTTCTCTTTTTTTTCTCAATCTTATATCATACATTCTACCACCAATATTCAATTAAATTTTCTGGTAAATTAAACATCAGATACAAGAATTTTTTAAAGGTTGTAATTTTGAAGCTCTGCTGCATTAGGCGTTAAAAAAGGATGTTGTATTGCCCTTTGCGGCTGACCTAAAAATCTTAAAATCTACAGTCCGGATTTTTTACCGTTTTTAGAGAGAAAAAATGTTTAATGAATAACAAAATATGTATTTTGTTTGTTTAAATGGGATATTAATGCATAGAATCATCAAATTATCGATTAGGGTGTTTTTGTAATGAATGAAAGGACATTTGTTACATCATACATTATTCATTTTAATGCTTTGCTCGTGATCAGAATAGGTAATCACTTCTTTTAAGGGAAACTTGCGCATGTACATGTACCAAAATAGAGGGCAGGGGCCTCTTGCATTACATAAAAAGTGTACTCTTTGAGGCCCCGGGAGGACAACAAAATAAAAGAATAGCATGGAAAAGAGACAAATTCTTGCACTCATCATTGCATTCCCCAATAATAGAATTGATTTGAGATTATGAGCATAATGGGAGATCAGGTAAAAAGACTTAATCTGGCCTGTTTATTATGATGTCCACATTAGAAGAATGCAATCTATTAAGTTTAACCTCAAAATCTCAAATCATACGATTTATAGCATGACTACATCAAAGCTTTGTATTTGACTAGAAATATGGACTTTGATTCTGAAGCCCGTGTTCCCCTTTTCATAATATTTACACTTTTTGATTGACCTACAGGTGACACTCACAATAAAAGCTCGTCATACTTTGATCCTAATAAAATCAAGGTGTTCAGTAATCACCTTATTTGATAATGAATGATTGAGTGCTGCTTGACACAAAATGAAAATTATCTGTAGAACCAAATGTTTATTGTTCTAGAAGTGTGAACCTTTTGACATTGGCAATGAGAAAAACATCAGTCCTTGTGTTTTGAGTTTGGTGACCCACGATTAGGAATCTAATACTCCATTCACAGTGGCCTCAAACACCGCGACAGCAGCGGGACTGTCCCGCTGCTGTCGCGGTGTTGTCTTCAGTGTGAAGGCTCGGACCCGTTATAAACTATCGCGGGATAACACCGCCTCGCGATAACGCCGCGACAAACTATCGCTAGGTTCGCCTAGCTACAGCAGCGGGACAGTCCCGCTGCTGTCGCGGTGTTTACTCAGTGTGAAGGCTCTCCGCTATAACACCGCGACAAACACGTGTGATTTTTTTACTTACCTATCACTGACCTCTTTTCTCCAGCAATGGGGAACATAAAGTGAAATAGAAATAAAGTAACCAGTGGATTCAAATTGATTTTATTATTATGTAGATATTATAATTATCCAAATAAAAATATTTCACACTTCAAAAAATTAAAATATTCTGACTGGAAGCAATAAAAATGCTAGTTTTTTAAAAAGTAATATGATCGAGCTAGCTACATGAGGAAGAGTGTGTAAAGTACAGCTAGCGCGCGCAATTTCAAGCAATCGAAAACCCCGCGCTGAAGTATTTCCGGTCATATCGGGGTCACTCGCGGGTCATGAGCCATGCATACACGTGTTTGTTACGGAGGTAATAAAAATCACCCGCTGCAGCGTGAATGGGTACATGATATTTATCCCGCTGCTGCAGCGGGATAACTTTTCTACTGTGAATGCATTTGTAGCGGTGTTATGGCGGTGTCGCCGCTCCGCTACAACGCCGCTACAAATTTCAAAACCACTGTGAATGGGGTATAAGCCAATATTTGAGCAAGCAATTAAATAGGATCAAGGCTTGTATGATAGTGGATTGGTATGAATGTGACTTTAATAGGCTATCGATCAAGGCTGATTCCCATTATCGTGTTTTAAATACCAGGACAAACATGTGTTAGTTAGTCTGCTTAAGATAGAAAGACACCTATTCCCATTAAACAAATAATTGCTAGCAAGGAAATACAGCAAACAAGATAAAGCACTTATGATTCAAAAGGTTATTTAAACGATTGTATGTGGCGTAAACAAAAGAAAAGAAATAAAGAAATATTAGCATGTACAGCCTTACACTATCCTACAAAACTCATCAAAAAAATATGTGTTGTAGGAGACTTGAGGTTTAAAACATACTGAATGAACTCTTTGTACTTCTTAACAGGCTGTCCATTAAACAATGTGGAATAAATGAAAAACTTATAGGGCATCTTCCACAAGAAATAAGCATTTTTTAGATAAGAATCCAAACAGCATAGTGGCTAAGTTTCATCGATTCTGCATTTAACATGTATTAGGTCATGTATGACAGTGACTTTGATCAATTCACCTCATAATACAAGCATCCTTGTGTCCAATACTTCGGCTAAAATCCATGATCGACAGATTTAAAAATGATTTTGATATTATTTTCTGACTTTAAAATCATCATAACAAAAAATAGATTTGCAATAATGAAGAAAGAAAAAAGAAAAAAGAAGAAGCAAGACTACCGGTACTGAATTTGCTAGTGTAGCGCTCCCCCCCCCCCCCCCCCCCCCAAAAAAAAAAAAAAAAAAAATGTTGAAAGAAAAGAACACTCTTTTCTTCTTGTTATTATGTAACATTAGCACTTGGCCCAGTTTATTCTATAGATGTGACTCTGTCTTCAGGAACTTCAGGTGGGATCGTATGGAAATATTGCTCTAGACACTGACTGTACAATATCGACAGGCCTACCATGGTACACCTTCATACAAAAGGAAATCATGATTAATTTCATTAATGGGGGAAACTTCATAGTGTTGATTTCAACTTCCTTTTGGTGAATATCCTCTTAGTAGGATTCTCTATGAGAAGTGACAGACATATTGAGTACCGGTATGCATGTTGTACATGTACATGTGTTTGGCCAATCATCGACTAATTGTGTTTGAATGGGTTAGAAAACAGTCTACCATCTGTTCCATGACACTTTCGAGTAACAACATGTGCTTTATCATTGTGATTAACTCTTTTTATTGATGATAATCATTCAACCTTCTTGCCTTTCAGTGCCATTGTCTCAGAATTTTAATTCTATATTTAAGAAAAATCCAAGGCCTGGTCAGTATTTATTAATTCTCCCGATACACAACATTTTGAGCTCAGCAAGTATAAACTTAAGAACATATTCAGAGCTTATTGAATCCTTTCTGTTCTGAGGACATATAAAATAGTAATAGAAAAATAACAAACAACCCATGAAGTAGGAATACAACATTTTTCTCTTAAATACACTTACAGTAAGTATGTGCAGATGCAGTATGAACTTTATTTCAACTTCATGGATTGTTTCACTAAATGTTAGGGGAAATTTCAATCAGAACTATGAATATGAAGCTGATGGCACCAGAGCAAGAGGTTATCATTCGTCACTCGTCAGTGGTCATTTTATGTTGAATCCAATTTCTCATTGCGTTCACTTTAATACACCTTTTTTTCTACCTCCTCCTCCTCCTCCTCCTCCTCCTCCTCCTCCTCCTCCTCCTCCTCCTCCTCCAGGTCAGCCCATGTGATGGTAGAGTCCTCCATTTTGGTAAAGTAGAGAAGAGCAAGCTGGAGCAAGTCAAAGGCATCACCTATTCCCTCAAGGACTTCCTAGGACCAAACTCTACCAACTCGGATACTGTAGGCAATGAATATGAGGTAGGTATGAGCAAAGATTCACTTCCGGTGTGTGCTCCACTACATAATGCCCTTGGTGCTTTTACCAAGTGTAGGGACTTCAAGAAAAAAGACAAGGGAACTGATGAGAGTTGTGGAGATCGTTGATGATTGCCCTTTTTCTTCCAAACAAAAACCTCATGAATTGTTTCTTGCATATCAAAGTGTCTAGTTTTGTATAATGTAGTACATATATTACTTGTTAGCTCTTCTTCCATGTTCATATCAATTTACAGCAATATGTTATACATTTTCCAAGGTGTGTGTGTTTGTGAGGGGGGGGGGGCGGTTCAAACACCATCCTTCACTGTATAACATATCCTTGTTCTTTTCCTTTCCATCCTGGATTCTTTGATCAGGTTTCCGATGAGGATTATCATTCTTCCCTTTGTCAGAAGGAAGGTACCAGTCTGTATCACTGTGTGATCTACCTGGCCCCTGGAGACTACCACAGGTTCCACTCACCAACAGACTGGACTGCACATCATAGAAGGCACTTCCCAGGTATATACAAGTGGTTCATTCACAGTCACTCCACCCTCGATCAAAAGGTTCAGGGTTCCAATCTCGGGACAGTCAGATTTTCCTTTCTTCATTCAATCCACCCTTGATCACAAGGTTCAGGGTTCCATTCTCTGTTACTCGTTTACTATAAGGGTCATTCCATAAAGTTGGGGCAGAAAATATGACGGTGTCCATGTAATGTTGGTGTTAACTCGTATTTTACCTAAGCCGAAAACTAAGTAAAATACTCATATTTCTGACATGCAGTAAGTATTGAGTTGAATACCGGCCCAGATGTACAGAATGATAAACGGTTGAATATTGTGTCCCCTCCCCTCAGGTGAACTGCTGTCTGTTAACCCTGGCATCGCTAGATGGGTGAGAGGCCTATTCAACTTTAATGAGAGAGTGTGTATCACAGGAGACTGGCAGCACGGCTTCTTCTCTTTCACTGCCGTGGGCGCCACCAATGTAGGATCCATCTCCTTTTACTGTGACGAGGTAAGTTCATATAAACCAAGGTTCTGCATTTCTGCTACAAAACTAATATCTTACCAGCTTTCATGTTTTATATTGCAATTCTTGCAATTTTTCTCTAATGCCTTAGTCACACGTTTGCGTATTTGGCTCACGTATTGTTGCATATTTATTGCAAGCCGTCTTAACAATTATTCTTATTTCTTGTAGGCCTAATTTCTTGATATCTTGATACCAAGAAATCAAATTCTTGATATCAATAATTACTATTGCTTCACAACAGAAAAATTATCTCTTGATATCAAGAAATAGGAATAAATGTTAAAAACGGCTTGCCATAAATACGCAGCAATACGCAAGCCAAATACGCAAAGCTGTGACTGAGGCATCAAATTGATCTTCTGAAGCTTTGCATATTCGGCTATAAAGCTGGGTTGGTAGGGCTAAGCCTGGACATGAAGGCTATAGGTTTATCGAGAATTCTCAACACTTTTTATCTTACACTCGCACTTCTTAGTTTGCTTGGCCCTAATTTAACATAAGGTCTGAACTGTTAGTACCATAGGATCTGTCCTGTCTGCCTTCTGAAGTTGGCCTTTATTCATCTTTTCAGTGAATCCAACATATTGCAAGAAAATCTGTTTTCTTTGAAATTAAGTGACTTACATGCAGGGATGTCAATTTCAGACGTTATATTAGGCCTACTGATATTCAAGTCATCTTACATAACTAGATGACTCTTTATTGTTATCTCTTATAAGCTTCTAAGGAAGTTTAGTCTTCATATCTCAGAGGAAGGAGATCATATCTTATACATTTTTTTCTAGGATTTTATATTACTTTGAATATGATCACAATTACATAACTACATACATGTACTCTTACTTCTTGTTTCTTATGGGTATTTTGGGAAGTTTGATCAATTGTATTTTTGAATGTCAATTAAATTGGTGTACTTATTTTTGTTTGTTGATGTAGCTAAGAAAAATTACATGGGTACATGTAGCTATGAAGTATATTTTCTTAAAAATCAAAAGCTTTGACTCTTGTAAGTGTGAACAACTATCCAATTTTCTTACAATCCAAAGGAGCTGTGCACAAACCTAACAGGGAAGTGCAAGCCTGGCGCCTACTACGACAAAAGTTTGAAGTCATGCCGGAAAGAGAGAGGTGATCACGACGACGGTGTGGCGATGACCAAAGGGACGGGTATAGGTAGCTTTAACCTCGGTTCAACCATCGTCCTTGTCTTTGAAGCACCTAAAGACTTTAACTTTGTATTCAACAGTGGGGATAAGATCAGGCTAGGGGAGAGACTAGGTTCCCTCTGAGGGAGGGTTGGTTGATCTGTAGATGAACCCTCCCTTTAGATGTATCTTCCTAAGCTATCTGCATGTCAGATAAGGACTACTATACCACCACCACCACCACTTCAAAACTGTGCTCTTGAACTCCCTCCCGTCATACCAGCAGATGGACCGCCGCCAAATGGAGTAGCCAGCCAGCCAGCAGATTTCTATTTGTTGCATATATGTATATAGGAGATGCTATCTGAAAGGTTGAATGAAAGATGATCAGTGCAAGGAAAATTTAAAGTTTATTCGTCGTCAAATTGGGGGAAATCTTTGTATGTGTATTTTTGTCTGAGAGATATTTTGTATTGAAGAAATCGGTATCATTAACAATTTCCTATAATCTGTTTGCTCTATCTGGTCATGATGGGCTCTTATATAATTTGACCCCCCCCCCCCCCCATGTGCAGTATTATCTTAAGAATATCTCACTGAATATAAATTGTGAAGTTCAATGCACTGGTAAACCATAAATGTTGGTATGATATGACATTGTGTCAGGTAAAATGTTTACTTCTAAATATCCTGTACACATTCAAATGTATTTCTTTTTTCCTTTTTTTTTTAGTTCTGGACTTTTCTTCGGCATTCTGTAAGTTTCAGCCAGTGAAAGAAGATTGTGTTACTGTGAACATTTTTGTTGGACCAACTCAGATTCATACATGCTGAATTATATTGAACCTTCTATTACATAACACATGTCTCTATTGATACAAGGATATCCAAAGGGGGTACACAATTTTACCAGACCCTGCCCACATTAAATTATTTTGATAGAGATGGAGATGCTTTTACATCTACATGTTGCTCTTATTTTTTTCTTCCCAAAATGGGGTTGATGGTGGACAATGACTTGCATTTTCATGCTAATATTAGTGCCCTAATTGTGTACAAATAGATACCTGTAGTTAGTCAAAGGGGGGCTGGAGAAATATGATACTGTGGTTTCAAATATTTTGATATGATTTTACTTGGCTGATATGAAGCCATTTTCTCAGACTTTGGTTAATCCAATGATTATATTTTTTCAGTTGCCATGGTTATTTTCTGCTAAATATTCGGATCCATTCACCACTACCGTTTATGTTAATGTACATTTATGTCTCCTCCGACAATAGACTGAACATAACATTCAGAATAAAAAGAAAACGACCTAGATGAAATGTATTCTATTTCAATCAGATAAAAAAGTTCCCTTTTTGGGGATGTATAATGATTGGTTTAGCATGGGTCTTTAAACGTAATTTGAACAGAAGCAAAATATTTTCCTGTCATGTCCATTTCATGTGCTTATCTCACTATATAAAACTTTTTTTTTTTTCTTTGTGTAATTTCTGCTGAGAAAGAAAACACAGAGGCAGAAAATAGCACATTACAAATTCAAATGGATGGCCCCTAAATGTACTTACATACATGTACATGTAGCTGTGTTTTATGAGGTACAGGGGCGGGTTTCATAAAACTTGTTATCTCTAACAAATGCTAAATTTCTATGACAAATATGCTCTCAGCCAATCAGATGCCATGATTTCAGGAGCTTATAACAGTAGATTGTAACTTGTTATTGATATCAAGTTTTATGAAACAAGGCCCAGATCTTATGTCTTTGTATTTTGCCACAGTTACAGAATCATGGGTGAACAAAGATGAAAACCCAATTCACAGATTTATGTGACATTACAAAATTATCATGACATTACAATTCCACGCTACCGGTAGATATTAATGATATGGTATTGCCATTGAAAATGAAATGCACTTAATGATCCATTCATCGCATTGCGCTGGTAGACAGTTTACTTTGATATTTATGAGATTGACCAAGTCATTGATAGTTGAATATGTGAAAAGCAGATGAATTATTAAAGATTAAAGTATATTATAGCAATTTGCAATGCAAACATATATACATGTAATGTGATTTAAACAGAGCAAAGTATATTGTAGCAGTTTGCAATGCAAAATAAATATTTTTCACCAAAGAGGCTTGGATCTTCCAAGTTATGGTGAAAAAGAAGACAATTTTACAGATTGTTTGTAAAAGTATATAGTAATTATAATTAAAATATTATTTTGGTGAACCGTTGCTTTTCCTTCTGTCCTTGGATCACAAAACATGGCAAGTGGTTAAAATTCCTGGGGTTGTTTCACAAAGATCCTAGGTTGAACTTAACAATTATGGAAAGCAGTTAGTATATTTGAAAATACTTACTAATACTAATACTTACTAGACCATGGGTTATGTAAATGAAGGTATAAACCATGGGTTAATTTTAAACCTCCTTTGTGAATTCAGGCCATTCTGTTTATCAGAAAATGGGGACAGGTTTCATGGTTGTAAACGGCAATATTGTCCTGGTATTCAAAGATATATATATAAAAGTAAAATTAAAGTCACATTGCATCTGTAGAAATCTCAATGTGATTGTTCTCACTTTTGGTACTACTACTCCTCAATCAAATCTTATCCATTCAATGTGTGGGCATACACATTTCTGACTTTTATTGCATATACAAATGTTTATAAGGTGTTTTTTTTAAGAACGAGACGTACAGAAATGGCGAACGATCCATGTACTTATTTTCAGTACTGACAAGTTTCGTCATCCTGGTATCTTAGCATTCGTTGAATCGCCGGCAGTAGACAGCCTGAAATGTAGTTTATTATGGACGGAAGTCAAGTATGAACATGAACAGCCTTGATCAAGAAAGTGATCCTAGAATTTCATCATAAAAACTTCCATAGCAATCAGATATTATTTATTGATAATACTGTAAGTGATGTTAATTTGGATTAACTACCGTCCTTTGACATAGATTTGTGTAGAGCCCCATCCCATATCATAATGATCTGTACTGTACTGTGCCATACATTGTAGATGTTTGTCACACCGGCTGAGTCAATTAAAGGGAAATGAAATATGATGAAAAGCTATAAATTTGACTACCGTACTCTTTCTTGTCTTTCTTTTGATGTAGGAGTATTTATACTTGATATGCTAACAAAACTTTGTACTTTGATTTCTTTATTAAAAATAATAGCTACATTTATATTGCAGCACATATCCACACACAGGGTGCTCAATTTCTTACCCTGCCTTTAGTCCAGCTGCTCTTTGTTTTGGGGGATTTTAAAAAAATGAAAGTTTGTTAAAAGGCAATCCAAGCATTGTAATCGGGTTATTTGATTGAAATTAGAGAAATATGAGAAACAGGATGGATTTTTTGTTGAATAAATCACACCAATTAAGGGGGTTATGAATGTTTGAAACATGAGATCACTGTCGCTATGCGGATCTCAAATATGGAATTTTGACAGTGGATTATGACATAGTCGCCGACAACTCTCCCGTCTGTGGTGTCGCGAGGGGGAAAATGTCCATGATTAGTTCGTTCCCTCGCAATATTATTTCATTCCGAAAGCCGGTTGAAAAAAAGTATGTTTCCAACCTCATTTATCACGTTACCTGCACTCTGCACAAAACTTATTGCATGATATTGTTTAAAACATGTATAAAATGCCTTTTGCCACAATATAGCGCTGTTGAAATTCTTTTGAAAGCAATAAAACTGCATCCAAATTCCACCCTCTTGATTTTCATTATTTTGAATTTCCAAATCACCTATAGGCCTACCCCTATGAATCCTGTAACACTACTTTTTTAACCCTTACATTTCCAATTTAAATTAAAACCTTACAATCACTAATAACACAATTTGTGCTATCATGCTGAACTTCGCATGCAAGAGAAGATTCAATCATTTTCGCGAGGGAACGAAATAATTAAGGTTGTGCGAGGGAACAAAATAATGATTGAAAGGGAACGAAATAATCATGGAAATTTTCCACCTCATGTCAACTGGCGGGCTCCGTACATTTACAATGTCTAGCAAACCTGATTGAGAGGATGAATCAGATTAAATTTTTCTTGTTTTAATGAAGTGATAAAAATTGAACGCATAAATACCATATTTTAATAGTCCAGTCACCAATTCTATAAATCCAGCCAACATTATCTTCGCAACAAGATGACAAGAGATGGCGCTAGACCTTTTTCGTAAGGGATAGGTTGGCAAGAACTTGTTTTTTCCGCTCCTCAATCTCCCCCTTATCACTACAACCCCGTGTCTCTCCCCAGTGGCGGATCCAGGGGGGGGGGGGGCCCGGGCCCCCCCCCCTTGAGAAAAAAAATCATGTAAAATCACGTGATTTTTACCTTTTGGGGGGGTTGGACCCCCCCCCCCCTGGCGCTCAAGGGGGGGGGGGGGGGGTGCAAATTGAATTTTTTTTTGAGGATCAAAAAAAAAAAATGTGCTCACTACCCCCCCCCCCCCCCCCCGCCCCCGCCCCCCCCCCCCCCCCGAAGGGAATTTTTGGCCGGCGCGTTTTTCAAATTTTCGGGAGCAAAAAAAAAAAAAAAAAAAATTGTGCTCTGTACCCCCCCCCCCCCCCCCCCCCCCCCCCCCCACTGAGCGACTTTTCGGCCGGCGCGATTTTCAAATTTTCGGGAGCAAAAAAAAAAAAAAGTTGGGCCCCCTCCCCTAAGAAATCCTGGATCCGCGCCTGTCTCTCCCTCCCCTTTCACTCTATATCGACCTTCCCTTTCTCCTTCCCCCTACCCCCTTTTTCGATGCTTAGTATAATAATGTTTGATGATTTTTGTTGATGGTGTTTGTGTGTTAATGATTTATTTTCAATTGTACAATAGAACGAGTTTCCATCAAATCCTTATGGAGCTCTCACACTCTGCCGTGTAGGCCTACCGTCCACCTGCCGGGCTATTAAAAAAACAACAGAGTCCAGAACGTTGGGTTTTGAGCGAAATTGTCCCCGGCCGCAAAAAAAAATTCATAAAATTAATCTTTGCACTGTTTCGTTGCCATCTTCTGACCGTTCTCACCGGGCGCATACCGGGTGTTGAACGTGCTTCTACCGTCTTCACCGCCCAGATTGACTTTTGTTGAAAATTTTGGCCGTTTCCATACCGGGCCCATACCGGGTCTCGAACGTGTGCACCGGGTTTGTAGCAGCCACCTACCAGTCACTTAGCGTCCCCTCACCGCTCGGAGCGTCCTGTGAGCGAGTCCCCGGACTGCTGACGTCATGACACGACTGCCATAAATACCCCGATTTGAACGGCAACGGTCAGTCCGCTCTCCATGTTTCATCACCGTTCTGTAACGGGTTATGAGCGTGTTGTGAACGTGTTCATACAGTGTGACCGTTTTCATAACGTATTCATACCGTCCTCATACCGTTCAACACCGTCCTCTTGCCGCTTACTTGCGGCCGGTGCCAGCCGGCCAAAGTTTTGAACATGCCCAAAACTTTCGCCGGGTCCCACCGGGTGTAAATAAGCGCCAACGCCCTATTAACGTGTTGCCCGCTTTGATAACGAACCACCGTGTGCCCTCGCCGTTCTCCACCGTCCGCAGACATTTTCGCGCACGGTGGCACACGGTAGGCCTACACGGCAGAGTGTGAGAGTCACTTTAGAGAAGCTATGGAAATCAACTATCAGAACAACAAATATATGGAATCTTATCTAATCTAATCTTACAGGTCCGAATTTACAAAGGAGCTAGTTTGTCGACAAACCTTGGTTTTCGTGCGTCACATGACGCATTTCGACGCGTTTTTACAAACCAGGTTTGTAAAAAAAAAAAAAACGCGTCAAAACGCGTCATATGACCAAGAAGTTAGCTAGTAACTTCTTGATATGACGTACTTAAACCTCGGTTTGTCGACAAACCTCCTTTGTGAATTCGAGCCTCGGGGTATATACCTGACGTATCAAAAACATTCCTTCTCTCTGGAAGCAACTTATAACCCTACGGCTGAGTGATGGGGAAAGGATCATCTCCAGGCACTATAGGGTTCAAAGAAAAGGCATCCATAAATATGAATATAAGTCTTGAACTGGAACGGCCTATTCTTTCTGCCCGACTTTACATAATACTTCACAACAGAAAGTGGCATAAATTACCGTTGGAATCAGAATTCGAATACACTATGTGCATAATACTTCAGAACAAGAAAACATGCCAATGTAATCGTTTGCTAGATACTAATAACAAACGAAGTATAAATCTCTATAACGAAATCTTCTATGGGCGAGTTTACTAATTTTATGAAAGGGTATGACAAACTAAAATCGTTGGTTATTGGCACTCCTATGATTGGAATCTACCTTGCTAGTTTCGGCAGGGCTTTAGTCAGAGAAGTATGCATAAAATCTAAATAATATTGGTACACTAGCCTTTTCTTTCTTTAAAAAAAACAGCTGCTTACCAAATGTATTTTATTTTTATACATGATTGAAATAACAATGCTCACTACTGACCACCCAAAATAATTTTATATTGAGCACCGAAGTGTGACGTCATACCGCGTTGTCAATGTGGCTGGTTCAATGGCGTGGTCATCACAGCAGCTGAAAATCTGAATTTGCCCTTCTCCAGCCCGTTGCTTGAAGTATTTCGAGGTGAACCTCATCGATCATTGTTGCTTCATTCACCCAATACATTCTCTTGATCTCCTGCTTTTCAACCTATCCTCCCGGCATTCATTCCAAGTTGTTTCCTACCAGTGGCGTATATCATTCGGGTCCATAGTTCAGTTGCAGTCTGAGCAAGAGCAGATAAAGGTCATAATATTGCAGATCACAGGCGCGGATCCAGGAATTTCCAATAGGGGGGGGGGGGGGGGGGGGCCGGAAATTCGAAATTCGCGCAGACCGTTATTTAAACTTACCAATACTGACAAGGTCATAATTAGAAGCACTGTACTTTAATAGTGTACTGGTACCTACAAACGGGCACAATTATTTTGGAAAGGGGACATGCTCACGTCACATCTCTTGTCCGACATCAACATTCCCCGTTTTCAAGTTATGCTCGCGCGCAATTTTTTTAACATTTCCTTCAGTGGGGGCTGAAGCCTCTTGCCCCAATATCTATTTCCTGGTTTAATAATTTGGCGAGTGAGCGGCAATTTGAGCTTATGTATGTTGTGAAAAGTGTTAATTGTCACCAAAATATACGAGGTAAGATATAACAAATGCATTTTGGTAATTTTTAAATTTTCGGGGAAAGAGAGGCTGCAACCCCATCCCGCATTAACTGCAGGTGTTTTGAAATCAAATCAGACTCCCAAAAAAAAGTATTAACTAAAACGCACGAATCCAGTTTCAAAAATCCAAAAAATGTCAGCTTCAGAGGGGGGCACATCACCCCTCAGACTCTCTCTAAAAGTATTAACCGAATCGCACGAATCCAGGTAAAAAAAAAAAAAAAATCAGCTTCAAAGCTAGAGAGGAACCCCCCCCCCACACACACACACACACAGACACCCCCTGTGCGCGTAAGCGTGAAATTAACGGTGGCGGTAATGCGTAAGCAGGGGCGGCGGAGCTATTTCCAAAGTGGAAAGCACCAACAAAAAAGGGCACCTACAAAGCGAAATCTCAAAGCGAAAATATACATTTTTTTAGACATTGGTATATACCCTTTCATTGTGATTCCATTATCAGGGACGATTTCAATATTTGTTTTTCTTTATATATCATACAAGATATTGCTTAAGCATCACACTTTCGGCTGGTGTGATTGTCTGTGAGGTCGCAGAGTGAAAAATTACATCTTATAAAGAGGAAAAAACCAAATCATGATGGGGTTATAAGCATCACGGAAGACTGAAAAAACATTTGTTTTAAAGTGACATATAATTGTATCATCTATAAATGCGAGCGAGCGAGCGAGCTTTAGGAGAAACTACTCTTAGTCGCTTTAAATTAGGTGCAAGACTAATGATGAGCAGGTTAGTGGGCACGTGCCCCCCCCCCCCCCCGTGTCTACGTGCCTGATGATGAGAGGTTAAGGGGACACATATCGAAAGAGATAAAGACATTTATTAGAAAAGAAAGGAGCATGTGTCAAG